AAAATGGGTATTTGGAGCTAATAAAAGACTTTGTACAAAACTAAGTGCAATGACGTTTTAGAATTCATACAACCGATCTCACCTAATAAGATAAAACTTTGTTGTTGTTGTTGTATCCTTGATGAAAGTTATATGGATACAAAGAACCACATAATTGTGACGCACAGATCATGAAGTTCCTACTTCAAGTTGCTTTGGATTCCAATAACAAAGTTAATATTGGGCAAAGGCACTCATGATGAGCTCCAAGAAATTGTTGTGTACAATAATATCATTTTACAATCTGTTATCAACTAGCACTTTGAATTTTATTTTTTATTTTCAACCTCAATCATATTTCAATAACGCTTAAATGGTAACAATCATAATAAAAGTTAAAATTTGTTGAATATTATTTCGTCCATTTGGCAATAATATTTAGCACATGGATGGATCTATATTTTGGGATGAATCATGTTACCTCGTATGGAAGGGTATCTTGTTAAATCAATTTAATATTTTATAAGGTACAATTCTTGCAATTTTTTATTTTTTATATAGCACAATTTGATCAAGATTTTAACTTCAAAATAATATATTTGAACCCAATAAATATCTTCCCCACATAATTTCAAAATTTTATAGTACAAACTTCCCATTTTGGCTGGCGATTCGACGGTGGTCAGTGAGGAGGGGGTGGGGGTTACTGTCCGGTGAAAGTTTTCTGTTTTATGATTTTTTTTATTTTTAATTTGATTCAAGGGTGCGTGAATGAGAATATGTGTGAGAGGTTTAAAGGGATGCGTGAAAATCATCTCCCTGTTTCGTATGATCTAAACGTATTGTTTTGAAGACACCGTTGAAAGATCATCTTTACAAATTTTCACTCAAGTTGAAAAGTATCTAGGCATCTAGTTGTGACCACATAAATAGACAAGCAAAACTTTGTCAATAAACAATAAAATGTCCATGATAGTTATCAATGACTAATAAGTTCCTGTTTTGAGTGGACTTTGCAAGCACGATCTTTGATTGATGACTACAAAATAAGCGATTCAGATGATTAGATTAAATCTAAAACGGGCCTAATGAGTTGTTAGGTTATACAAAATATATGGAGTTGTATAGGATCCTTGCTCTAATTTCAATTTTTTTTTTGTACAACAATATATTTTTACACTAAGAGAATGGGGAGTCGGAGTTCAGCTAAGTCACACAATGGGCAACCTAATTTGGTATCGAATTTGCTATCCAATAGATTCGAACCTAAGATTTCTTACTTATAAGTGAAGAGGAATATCATCAGACCGTATAACTGAGTGACCACTCTAATTTCAGTTTGTTTAACAAAAAATATGTTAATTAATTGTTTTGACTCTTTTTTTATATGGAGTTATACCATAATATCATATTATACTTCATACTTTGTAACTGTACTTCAAATTATCTATATGGTTTGCCTTCTTTAGATTCATCAACACAACAAACTATCATCCATGCCATTATAATTCAGAAACTTCTTCAAAAAATAAAGACTGAAAGTCGTTAGACTGAATAGTAATAGCCATTAACAACTTGTAAGTGTAGAGCTCAATGTGAAAAGTTGAAATGATATCTTCAATGGTTGTATAATTCTTTCAAGTCCTCAAAATAGTAGACTGCCGTGACAAAATCATCAGTTCTTTTAAAAAAATATTAAAAAGACGATCGTATAATTCTTATATTATAAACCGTAGTATGCATTTAATCATTGATTGTGACAACCATGACTCTACATTGTAATATAATCATGCTCTTTGTATCTGAAATTCCCTTTTTATCTGCATATTCTCCTATTAATTTAAGAGGTCACTTCCTTTTGCATATCATCACATCCTCACCTTTTACTTTAATTCTTTTTTATAATACTCCTCTCCTTGATCCCCTTTTTAGTTGAAAGTGGTCGCTTTAAACCCAGGCGCTGGTTCAAAAGCATACCCCTTTTATCTTTTGGTACATCTTTTTGGATAAAAAAGTGAATCCCTTTGAGGGTTTATTCATTTTTTTTATTAAGAAGAATTAAAAAAACAATTAGTAAGAAATAAAAAAGGAAAATGAGTTATATTTGATTTATGAGCGGTATATAACTATGTATGAAAAATGAATTGTCAAATTTTAAACGCATTAAATTCTTAGGTTCAAGTGATAGTGGATGGATGACACATGTCGCATAATGAATGAGAAATGCAAGTGGAAAAAGGAACGAAGATCCTCTCCGGATCCTCCAACCATGTTCGTTCATCATACATTATGCGATCAGAAATCATTATAAATTTTTTTATTTAAAATTGAATATAAACAGTACCTGACAAAAATTGATCGCACGATATACGATGAACGAATGTGATTGGAGGATCCCCATGATCCTTACAAAGAGGATCTGGAGAGGATCCACATTCCTAAAAAAAGGTAGATGAAAAGAGAATGTTTTTGTTCACCAATCTCAAGTGATGATGATGTTCACAAACATATTTATCACTGCTAAATGAGTTTAAATTTCGATATTAGTATAGTGGATAGACACAAATATCAAATTTTATTCTCTTTCAATGATAATAAATGAGATGATGAGTAAAAATACACCCAGATAAAAAAATGTAACTGGCATTCCTCTTCTTTGTAACTGTAACAATAATAAAAGTCATTCCTCTTCTTTGTAACTGTAACAATAATAAAAGTAATCAAAATAAAACCAAGTTTGTGCATTTTCCGTTTCATAATTACTCAAATGATGTTTATTTAGGTATAAATGACATTAATTACTAGTACAAGGGAATAAGCTATATTTGTTGAGAGCAATCCCTGCATATACCATGTTCATGGAGGGCTTTGTGTTAGAAAGTTAGAGACAAATTTTGTACATGTGAAAGAACTATTTTAACCCGGCTATTTACAATAGTATAAGACTACTGAGTAATTTCAAAAATTAAAAATTAACTTTATAAAATTGAATTGTAAACTTAAAAAAATCAAATGGTAAAGATTGTTTAAAAATGCAACTACTTGGAAGACTCGACTAAAATCAAGCCAAAGTTACGCACTTTGATAATTATGTAAAAACATTACAATTGTCAATTTTTAAAAGGAATCAGTTTCATGGTTTGAAAAACCCCCTGATGTAATAGTTGATTTACTTTTGGAAGATAATTTGAATTCTTAATTTTGTTGGTGTGGGACGCTCTTTTTCCTTTCATTCGGGTTTTATGTCCCGGAAAGGTTTTTATCGAGGTCCATTGTTAGCACCCTTTTCATTTGTTTGTACGTTGTTCCATCTTGAATTGAATATCGTACTTGCTTTCAAAAAAAAAAAAAAAGGAATCATAGAAAATAGCTAAAAGACAAAAGTTCACAAAGTTAGACACTTTGATAATTAGGTAAAAACGTTACAATTGTCAAAATTTTAAAGGAATCATAGAAAATATCTAAAAGACAAAAGTTCACAAGAGAAAACGAAGTAAAGAGAAAAACCGAAATGATTATATGTTTTTGTCAAAATTGGAAAAGATGTAGCCAATAAAAACAACAATCACTAGAGGGGTCTATTCTTACTTATCACAGTCTTTATAATCTTTCCTTTTTTATTTTATTTATTTATTTAATTATCTTTAATTTATTCTATTAAACAACTGTTAATTAAAAAAAGTATCTCGAAAAAAAAAAGAAAGTGTAAATAACACTTCTCCCATAAAATATAAATAAATAAAAACCCTCTACAACCCAAGTCAGTTGGGCCCGCCGTTTTTAATCAAACTTTATAATGAAAATCTTCATGATACGAGACGAGATCAACAGGTGGAAAAGTATTAGAAACAAATAAAATAATAATGCATTTCAGAGTGGGACCCAGCAACATACTGTCTCTCTCTCTTAGGAGGTTATCCGATGCGACCGCACGATCACCCGGTCTTCCTCTCAGCCGTCCAATGAAAACGATTGCCTCCTCTCTCCCTCCCCCTGGAATTGGATCACCTCCGAGGCAAATCCTCGGATCCTCCTGATCCAATAATACGAACCGTTAGATTTTGATCTAACGATTACAAATAGAGAATCTTTTTATGATTATAATAATTATAATCGTTGGATCAAATTCCCCTCTCCCTCCCTCTCTTAAGCTTTGACTGATTGTACCTTACGGTAATAAAATCAGCTCCAGCCAGAAACACCACCACACACTCTCACTCTAACTCCAGATTCTCTCTCTCTCTCTCTCCTCTGAGCTTCCGAGAGGCGTTGGAGTTTGGGGAAGAGAAAGACGCAAGCATTTCGGATTACGAGGCTGCTGACCTAATGATTCCTCTCCGCCTTTGATTTCTCTGCTTTTTTGTTACCTTTCTGCTCACACAGACCAATGATCCACCGACACTTACTGCTATGCCCTCGAGCCCGTCGCGGTTCCCGTTAACGGCGGTGCGTCGAACCAAAGATTCACTCCGGTGAGTACTACGCATACGATGCTACTCGTGTGAGTCAGAAATTACGAGACTTTTTTTTTTGTTTTTCGTTTGTTTACCGAGATAATGTATGTAAATTTTCTTGCTGTTTCCTTGTTAAATGCCGGTTTGTTTTCAAGTTTCCGTTTTTCTTCTGCTCGGAAATTGTCGGTTGAAAGATATTCAATTTGCTATTTTGAGAGAAAAAGATTTCCTTTTTATTTATGCTGAGATTCCGTTTCAATTGCCAAATGGGGTTTCGATATTCACTGTTTGGCAGCTGAGAAAGTGAGAAAAATCTCACCTTTTCAGCATTGTGTCCTTCCTTTTCCCCTGTGATTTCCTTCTCATTGCCAAACGGGGCAGACGTGTGTAAAAGATTTTGAAATTTGAGAGTGCTCCTTCTGATTGTGGCATAGCTGGCGAGTTTTGTCGTTTCCGCTAGGCTTAGCGGCGACAGTGACTCCGAGAACAGGTCGTTTTTACCTTATCATGATTTTTGAGATTGGAGTTTCAAATTTCCATGGACCACCGAAGTTCTTGGTTTTGAATTTGCTTATCTGCTTTCCCTGTTTGTCAATATGCATCTCCCAATTGTCTTGTTGCATTGAGATTTCAGTTTCGTGGCATGAAAGGCTCTGTTTAATAATATGAATTTAATTGATACACTGTCGATTCGCCTTGTTCTTAACGCAATTGAGTTGTGTGGATGACAATTTTTCGGAATTTTATTTTTCGAGAAGTTACGATATGAAGGCATTATTATGTATATTGCTGATAGGAAAGTGAGATTTTTGAGTTGCCCAATTGTTGATAGCTTTTGCTGAGCAGAGGGGACGAATACATTCGTGCCATTTTTGTCCTTGAGAGTGTAAGATTTGTGAGCTTATTATGTTTGACTGCTTGCATGATCTTTTAGCTACTTTGTCGGAATTAAAGTGTGGGATCAAGATTTAGATACCTGTTGTGTTGTGGGTTTTCTGTTTTTTTGTTACGGAGTTTTCTGGAAAATAGGATCTCTTTTGTGATAGATTCCGGAGTTTTGGTTGTGTGTAGACTTGTAGTAAATACTGCAATTAGAATGTTGTTTATCTCCAAATGACAGTACAGTAGTCTAAAATGTCCAGGAAAAGTTACCGGGTAGAGCCTCCACCTTATTCAGGTGGCTTTACTAGGGAGACTTAAACTTAGTTTATTTCTTGTTTAAAAATGCTGTGACTTTGTTGCTTTGCTTCTTGATTTGTGGGAAGGGTAAAGTTTCAGATGTCGATGAACGAATATAGTTAGTGAGAAGGAACGGTACTTAGCATGTCTATACATGTAGTATTCATGGTGTCATTACCTTCCTTTTAATTTGAGTAACCTTGTTTTAGTATTTAAATTTTAGGGCTTCTGTATTCAACTTTCTCTTTGTTTTTATTCTCAGATTGGCCAGCATTCTTATGAATCAGTGCAACCGTGCAGCTGAATAAGAAACATATGGAGCTTCCGTTTAGCAAGAGTATTCACGTATGATAAACCACGACATAGCAGATACTACCATGGATGGCTGCAGAGAATCCAGAAGGAATTCCAACGATCAACAATCTTCTGGAACGTCTGGAAGCATATCATGTCCAACAACTGCAAGCATAAACCAAGAAGAGCAGTCCAAATCAAGAAAGGTTAGTTTGTCCTATGCTGATCTTCATTATGAGATTACAAAAGATGTAAACTGTATTCCACCTAATTCTACTGGGAACCGCCAAAAACAGGGGATTGATAGAAAGAAGAGTGAAGAAGAGGAACTTGTTAAGTACATGTCCAAGTTGCCAAGTTACCTTGAGAGAGGCAAAAACCTTCAGGAGAAAGTTTTAAATGTAGGTGTCCTAGACTGGGGGCGCCTAGAAAAATGGCAGCATAGACATAAACAGATGCCATACAGAAGTAGCAGGAATTCACCATCAAGTAGTAATACAACCTCATGTTTTTCGACGGATGAATCATCAACCCATTCTAGCCGAGGCCATAGTTGTTCTCCTGCTCAACCGAGGGTGCATCGTCCTTCACTGGAATCTCATTTCATCAAATCTCCAATAGAAGGCCATTCTGAAGTTGTCGACAGTTTTAGAAAGACGGCTGAAACATTTAAAGATCTAAAAGCCGGCGGGAGTAGCACCTTGAATGGGCTGGAAAATTTTATTGGAACAGATAAGTCTTTATGCAAAAACCGCCCAGACATCAAGGTGGAACAGTACATGAGAAAAGATTCTGACCCAAAGAGTGAGCCAAAAAAAGGAGTTTTGCGGAGTGGCCCTCATGAAACTGCAGCTCATGGTGAATTAATGAAGAAATCAGAGAACTTAGATAAATCTTATTCAGAAAGTTCTGAACGAGATATCCCTGAAGGATGCCAGAAAGTTGTTCTGCTTTTGCCAAGAGATTTTCCTGCAAACAAAGATTCTGGTGTTTCCAACCTATCTGATTCAATAAAACTGCTTCATCAAAGAGAAGCAAAAGCAACCCAAGGAAGATTTTCAGATAGACCTAAGGAGGCCTGTCATGCAGAGCTCAGAACTGTTTTGTCAAACTCGTGCCCTTTTTCTTCTGAAGCTGAAAGTCAACACTCTCAGGTAAAACAGCTTGGCTCTACAGATGCTACGAGTATCAGATTGCAATCTAGTGTACCTAGCTCAGCAACACAATCATTTAAAACAGGAACAAGCTCATCGAGAGGCATAAAAGTAGAAGAGAAAAAAACAGCTGTAGCATCCACATCTTCAACTATAAGTGAGCCTTATAAAGGATTGGAACTGAAACCAAGCAAAGCAATTGCTGAAAAAGTAAGGAGCACTTCACCGTTTCGCCGGTTTAGCATTGGTGTGGGCAAGACGGGCAAGAGTTCCAGTTCCAAGGACTGTTTAGATGTACAGCAGCTGAGCTCAACATCTTTTTCGGCCAACCTTGGTTCCGAGAACACTGTGACTTCCACTTACACGGATACTTCAGATGGTGATAAGTCCAATGCCACTGGCAGAGCCAAGTCGAGCCCTCTGAGAAGGTTACTGGATCCACTGCTGAAGCCAAAGGTGGCTAACTGCCATCACGTAGTGGAGTCATCAGAGAAAGGTTCCATATCAAAAAATAAGGTGCGCAAATCATCTGAGGGTCGTGTGGATTCTTTGTCTGAACAGCCAGGGAAGGTAAAACTAGGTATGACTGGTTGTAGGACAATTAATGTCAATGAGTCAGCTATGGTCAAGAAGAGTGGATCCGCTGCAGTTCAAGCTCTTCTACGAGTTGCAGTTAAGAATGGCCAGCCCCTGTTCACATTTGCGGTTGAGAATGACATTAACATACTTGCAGCCACAATGAAGAAGTTAAATACCTCCAAAAATGATGACTGCAGCTGCATCTACACGTTCTTCAGCTTCCGGGACGTCAAGAAAAAGATAGGAACTTGGATGCATCAAGGCAGCAAAAGCAAGAGTCATGACTATGTCCGTAATGTTGTTGCTCAAATGAAGGTTGCTGATTCTCAGTTTCCCAATTTGGTCAGATTGGATGGCTTTAGCGTAAGAGAGTTTGTTTTATTCTCTGTAAACCTGAGACAGGGAGATTGTCAAACCTCAGACTTCCAGCCAAATGATGAGCTTGCTGCTGCTGTTGTCAAAATCCCGAAAAAGATCAATCAGCAGTCTACCGCAGTTTGGCATGACAGGGATAACTGTAGTATCTTTCCTGCGGTTGGTTCAGATGAGTGTTTGTCAAGGGTAAGACGCCATTCTTATTCTGGGGAAGCTGTAGATGGTAAGCCTTTTGTTGGTACTCAAGGCCTTAGTAGCACAACAGTGATACTTCCTAGTGGTACCCATAGTCTACCAAGCAACGGAGGACCATCATCTCTGATTGAACGTTGGAGTTCAGGGGGATCATGTGACTGTGGAGGTTGGGATTTGGGTTGCAAACTTAGGATATTTGACAATCAGAATCAAGTCAGCGAGAAATTGACTTCACATAAAGTTCGCCACATCCCAGATCGGTTTGAGCTTTTTTCTGAGGTATGGTGTTTTCCATTAGCCATGGTGACGATCTTTTTTCCTCTATAAACTCCAGCTAATTGTGCCCTTTGCTTTATTTCATATCCACAGGGAGGAATCCAAGAAAACCAGCCTGCTTTTAGTTTGGCCCCATTCAAAGACGGGATCTATTCAGTTGAGTTCAATCCTTCACTCTCAGTCTTGCAAGCATTCTCTATTTGTATAGCAGTATTAGATAGTCGGAATCTATGTGAGTTCTCCGGGTTAAGGAACTCGCTACAAGAAAAACCTTTTGGGGAAACGATGTTAATGCAAAATGATGGATTAAGTGCTCCAAATCAAATGGAAGGGGAAGTTCCTGCAAGATATGCCTCATATCCCCCGCTGTCTCCAGTTGGGAGGGTCTAGTTTTACAGTGATTTCCTCTTGACGTTACAGTATATCTTCATTTGCCCGGGTTAACATTGTACAAAATCTGCAGTTGGCGCCTTAACTTGTATTGCTTTTTGATTCATGATCCCCGGGCAGACAACAGGAGTCAGTTTTGCAGATCAGTAAATGTCAGAAGCAAAATATGAAGCAATTCATATGTATTGTGAGTGTAAGTGTTTAATCTATGTAAATGTGCTTATAGTAACTGAATAGTATGTTGCTTTTCACTTGAATTTCAATAAACTCTCTCTCTCTCTCTCTCTCTCTCTCTCTCTCTCTCTCTCTCTCTCTCTCTCTCTCTCTCTCTCTCTCACGCGTGAGCCCCCGTGGGCTCACGGAACATTGCACACGTGGTTGCACACACAAGAGACGCCAGGACGGACACAATCTAATCTAGGGGGCCTGCATGAATCTTGGGTGTGAAGCAACAACACAAGCATGACATACATTGCTGAATTTAATGATTAAGTATCTGTTTGATAGATTAAGGCAACTTAACAGGTGAATGTACATTGTTGTATAGTAAAACGACTCGTGAAGTAGGCAATAGTGATGGAAGTCGGAACAAAGATGTCCAAAAGGCTGAAATAGTGACAGTGTGCTAGCTTTTGTTAGGAGTGCCCGCATGGGGGTGTATTGGAATGGTTGGGATGCGTTGAGAAATCGTATGAAACTGGTTTTCTTTGCAGCACCGGTGAGGAAAACTGGTTTGCTTCTTTTTGAAAGCAGTACAAACTTAGGAAGAAAGCCAAAAGCGAAAGTGAAGAAAGCCAAAAGCAAAAATGACACGTTACCCCAGACCACTTGGGGGCAAACCAAGGACCTGAACACTAGACAAACAACTCTTAGGTCAAATTTTGTTCTCGATTCCATTTTTCAGTTATATCATTATGGTGTCTCAATTTCATTTTGAAGTTGTTCATATCTTTGGTATACTTAGAACAAAGTAGAATTTTTAGTAAACAATAATTGTTAAATCATTTAGAATACCCAAAGCTTGTTGGCAGTCCCACATCGGTGGGGGAAGTCAACATTTGGGGAGCGAGAAACTCTAGCATTTAGCTAGGTGGGTATTGCGTGAGAGAGTTGAACCCCGATCATTTGGGAGCAAACCAAGGACCTAACCGCTAGACGAACAACTCTTAGGTCAAATTTTGTTCTCGGTTCCATTTTTAAGTTATATCATTATGATGTATCGATTCCATTTTTAAGTTATTCATATCCTTGGTATATTTAGAACAAAGCAGAATTTTCAGTAAGCAGTAATTGTCAAATTTTTTAGAATACCCAAAGCTGTGTGTCTGCCAACTCAGTTCTTATCCTCCGCAGATTTGCCTGATCGATCTACACCTCAACCACTACTACCGATGAGCACCAGAGAGAAGGATAGCAAGAACAGAGAACTTGACAAATTCCTTAACGGAAATTCTGCCAACATTACCACTTGAGTCCGGAAAATGAGTAAAGATTTATTGTCGCCCCGTTCTGTTTGACCTTTCCCTTGTAAATTGAAACACAGGACAGATAGATCAAAAAGTTTCGAGATAGGAACATAGTTAGCAGTATATGGTACATGGATGAGCAGCACATGCTGAAGATGGCTTTGCTGCTGTTAAGAATTCTAACTTGTTTCAACAGATGCATTCTCCGTTGTTTAGCGAGGCGGATAAACCTGATCCGTATTATTTTTGGAAATGAAAATGAATATTGTTGATGCACAAAATCAGCGAAGACTTTGGTACAACAGAAAGTGTCAGGTTTTGTGACCTTCGCTTGGTTGCTTCGGTCACTAGTGAGGATAAGTACGTAAATGAATAGAGACAGAGAAGCAAACACAGGATGTACGTGGTTCACCCAGATTGGCTACGTCCACGGAGTAGAGGAATTCTTATTAGTAGTGAAGGGCTTACACAAGTACAAAGGATCAAGCTCTCAATTTAGTGAGTTCTTGTGAATGATTTAACACAAAATGGCATTAGGCCATATTGTGGGGGAATGACCCTTATTTATAGAAAAACTTGTAGCTTTGTCACATTGACATGTGTCATGTTATGATTGGTTCTTGATGTCGACACGTGCTGCGCTCTGATTGGCTTCTAATCTTGACACGTGTCGAGTAGTGATTGGCCTCCTGGTCGGAGGGGAACTCTTCTGGGTCCTTGACAGTATAGCGTTGGCCGGTGCTCGGTAGTTTCGGGATTGGTCAAGTATGGTACAAACAGTGCTCCCCTAAGTTCCCGAGTGAGGGAAACTCCTCGGTTGGGGACTTGCAAGATCCAATCCCTTGAGTAATCACGAAACTTCTAAGTACCGAAGTGTGGTCTGATCTTCATCTGCCCTTCTCTGGAAGTACCTTTCCTCCATCCGGGAATGGTGTACTTAGCTGATGTTGACGCACAAGGTAATGTATCAATTTCACTTAAAGCTTAGTTGTAGTTTCGGGTTTAGTCAAGTGTGATACAAACCCTATAGTAGGAGTCCCCCAAGTCGCCGAGCTAGGAGATCTGCCGAAAGAGGTGACAGACAAGGTAAGCAGTCAAACTTCCAAGTAAGCAACCCAGGATCAAAGGTTTGACTTCGGCTTCCGGTTGATTGTTCTCATTCTCCTTGTCTCTCATTCAACTGCCAGGGATAAGGAGAAGCAAATGGATAAGAGATGATATGAGATACTTTTGCTTTTGAAGAAGTAACTTTCCACATGCTTATTCTTGAACTGTGCTGGAGGGTTTTCTGGTGCCCTTCAGAGTATAAGGCCGACTCAAAAATTTGAGGGTCAAAACAAGTCCATCAAATCTAGAGTACATTCGACCTTGATGATATGGGATACTTTTGCTGTTGACGGAATAATGAATGTGGTATGGAAAGGTGTCGTGCTGTAGTGATCTGTTTCAGCTCACCGTTGAACCTTCTGCTTCAATCTTTTGCATGGCAGAAGTGGTGTGCAACCTTTGCATTTAAATGGTCCTTCAGAACATTCCTTCATAGTGACTCATCCACGCTTGGCAGCTTCAGTGTAAAGAGCCAATATCTGATCAACTGTCATGAGGTATTTGCCGGTGGAATTCGTGACCTTGACAGCAGTTGAGGATGAGTACTCGAGAGCAATGCTAAGTAAGCAACCAGGCAAAGGCTCCAGGCAGTCAGTTCCAAATTGGAGGTTTGATTTCAGGTTCCGACTGACTGCTCTCTTTCTCCTTGTCCTGCAGGTGTGGACAAGGACAAAGACAAAGACAGGGAGAAAGCATGATATGGGATACTCTTGCTTTCGATCCTGATGATATGAGATACTCTTGTTCTTGGTGTGGCTTATTTGCTGAGGTATTATCGGGGGGAAATAAAGCTGAGTATTTCGAGAGGTTATGTTGAGGGTGCCTTTTCGAATGCGAGAAAGGGTTGAGCATTTTTGCAGGTTTGCCTGTCCGTTGAGGAGGGAGGTCAATGTATATAGGGATTTCCCAATAACAAGTAGTAATGCTATTCCTTTACCCTTCTTGGTCACAGCAATGTAGTGGGAGCTGCCAGCTTCACGTGTTTTAATTTTGTCAGAGCACTTTGAAAAAGTGGTATGTGGTATCTGGAAAGCTGATGTTACGTGTGAAGATTACAGACAAGCTTTATCTAAGGAAATCTGGCTCTCGAAGTTCTGAGAGTTGTGCCTCTTCGGTTTTCGAACAAGTAATCCCGTCGAGGATCTGACTCTCGAGATTCGGAAAAGCGGTGCTACTCCGGTTTTTTAGAAAGTAATTATGTTGGGAGTCTTTTTCTCGAATGTGAGTAAAGGTTGGACGTTCTTGCCAACCTGTCTTGCCGCAAAACACGGAGGTCGACACACATAGGGAATTTCCAGTTGTCAAGCAGTGGTGCTGTTCCTTTACCCTTATGGGTAATAGTAGGGTAGCTGGAACTTCGAAATTCTCGTGCCTAAACTTTGTCAGAGATCTTTGACAAAGTTATATGTGGTACCCGAGGAGTTGATGGTGCATATGGAGAGCGGTGATTGAACAGTAAGATTCACGTGCTTTCAACTTCACCAGAAATCTTCGACAGATTGCCCGTAATTTCCGCAAAGCTGAGTGTGCATGTGACAGGTGCTGACGAGGCTGAAAAAGTAGGTGCTTCTTCGATTTCTGAGATCGGCCCTCGTGGTCTCTGAGCAGCCCAGCTTTTGAGAAAGCAAACGCCTCTTCGATTTCTGAAGCTCCGTCGAGTGCAGATTTTTATAGAGGCTGGCATTAAGTTCCACAGCACACTTGAATCTCTACCAGTAGAAGCTCATTTCTTGCACTTCTAAGATCTTGATTTGTCTGACCTCTTCCCTCTTCAACACATTTGAAAATGTCTGGACCTCCGACCGTCGTTTTGACTTGAACCTTGGAGAAGAGACAGCCACGCCTTCTCCAGACAAACATATGGCGCCCATCCTTCATATCCCCTACCGGTCCTCTTACCGTTGGGGATTCTGTGATGAAGAATGATATGACAGCTGCAGTGGTGGCCAGGAACCTTCTCACTCCCAAAGATAACAGACTACTTTCCAAACGGTCTGATGAGTTGGCTGTTAAGGACTCTTTGGCTCTTAGTGTTCAGTGTGCAGGTTCTGTGTCTAATATGGCCCAACGCCTATTTGCTAGAACCCGCCAAGTTGAATCATTGGCTGCTGAAGTGATGAGTCTCAAACAGGAGATTAGAGGGCTCAAGCATGAGAATAAGCAGTTGCACCGGCTCGCCCATGACTATGCTACAAACATGAAGAGGAAGCTTGACCAGATGAAAGAATCTGATGGTAAGGTTTTACTTGATCATCAGCGGTTTGTGGGTTTGTTCCAAAGGCATTTATTGCCTTCGTCCTCTAGGGTTGTACATGGTAATGAAGCTTCAAATGATGAACCTCCAATGCCTCCTCCTTCTGGGGTTTTGTCAAGTACTGAGGCTCCGGATAACCACCCTCCGGTGCTTTCTCTTTTCTGGGGCTCTACG